TCTGTCTGTGTCTCTGTCTGTGTCTCTGTCTGTGTCTCTGTCTGTGTCTCTGTCTGTGTCTCTGTCTGTGTCTCTGTCTGTGTCTCTGTCTGTGTCTCCGTCTGTGTGTCTGTCTGCCATGTCAATTATTGTAGGTATTAGTTGCACTAGCATGACAGAATGTTGCTCTCCCTGCTTGCGCAGGCGTGCCACCAGCCTGGAGCTGCCCATGGCCATGCGTTTCCGGCACTTGGAGAGGACGTCCAAGGAGGCTGTTGGGGTGTACAGGTGCACACATTGACTTTTAGCTTGCAAATCGCGACATTGACAAACAGTGCCTGTGAAATCCTAAGAGCGTCTAGGAGAATGCTTTAAAGAGCATGAGTGCAGGCTGGAAATCGCCTGTCACACCCTCAGATGTTTCCTGACCACAGTATTATGGTTGATGCTTTGTGTTGTTATACACAAGGCGTGATGAACTGAGCCCTTCGGCAAGACCTATAACTAACCCCAGCTGCTGCAGGGATAGTAGGTGACCCAGCTGTCGAGTGTATCATTCTGGATAGAAGCATCTTCTTTTTGACATGACTTTTATAGGTACCGCAGTAGGTCCTTGTCAGAGTCTTTGCCAAGCTGACAGGCTCGCTATAATGGCGGCTCCCCTGTGCGTTCAGACGTAGTAACAGCCTGGCCAGTGTGAAGCATAAAAATAACCAGTTGTCTTGCTTTGTGTAACTTTGTGTTTTTTCCCCCTCCATCAGATCTGCTATTCATGGTAGAGGCTTGTTCTGCAAGAGGAACATTGATGCAGGAGAAATGGTCATTGAGTATTCTGGCACTGTCATACGCGCAGTGCTGACAGACAAGCGCGAGAAATACTATGAGAGCAAGGTGAGCCGTCACAGCAGACGATGTGATTGGCTGAAGCCCAGGATAGCTGCAAACTGTCTTTGAATTAATGTAAAATGTCAGTTTATTTTGTCTTGTAACCCTATAAACTGTTCTGGTCTCTACAGGGCATTGGCTGCTACATGTTCCGCATGGATGACTTCGAGGTGGTGGACGCCACCATGCACGGCAACGCGGCACGCTTCATCAACCACTCCTGCGAGCCCAACTGCTACTCGCGTGTCATCAACGTGGAGGGCCAGAAGCACATCGTCATCTTCGCACTGCGCAAGATCTATCGCGGCGAGGAGCTCACTTACGACTACAAGTTTCCCATCGAGGACGCGAGCAACAAGTTGGGTTGTAACTGTGGTGCAAAGCGATGCAGGCATTTCCTCAACTAGGCCCCAGAAGGGCTGAATGGTTTTACACTGAGAGTAGAGGACAGGGTGGCGAACGAGGACTATATGCAGAACAGGGCCACACTATGAATGTTTTAAATTCGGAGTGAGAGCCCCTGAGCTGTTTAGACTGGGGGGAGAATGTCTCTGCGTCCAAGGTGTGGGCGGCTTGACCAGGCACACATACACCCCTGCACTGCGGCCCCTGTAAGCAGGACTCTGTGGCATGTAACTTTTTAACCTGCCGTTTGTCATCTTCCATTCTGTCTGCTCTTTCTTTCGGACATAAACTCAAAGTTCATCTGCAAAAAAATCAGCCAACAGCAGAAGTATAATAATTTTTTATTTTTTTTGCATGACAGACTGTTCTCTTCGATCTTTGCTGATATATCTTGGTAAATACCAAAATAGCACTAGCTATTAACACTAGACTGGGCAAAAAACTCATTGCTTGACTTCCACCATGCTTGGGCCTCCACAATAATGTTATCCCACCATTTTAAATTTTTATTAGACGTTTGTCAGGGGTGCAAGGGATCAATCATTAGCTGCAGTACATACTTAAAATCCTCTGGTTACTAGGATATTTTGGGCTTCTAGGATTGTGTAATTTAAATATATAAAAGCTTGCCACCTCTTTTTTGCAATGCTTAATACTTGTACTTTTAATTCTGTAGGCAGTTAAGAGCCCCCCCCCCCCCAAGTTTCCCTTGTGATGTGTGAGCTTTAGTGGGGCTAGATTTCATTCAAAGGACTGAATGGTGAGGATGACCGCTGGCTTAGAGCTGTGACAGGCCTGCTTTGTCACTCTTCCCTTTGAGCCATGCCTTCTCTCCATGGTATCGTTTTGCTGACTCCGCCATCATTATCGAAGTCTAATTATTTCAAAAGCCTAATGCCGCTGTAAAAATGTACATTGTACAGCATTTTTTCTCTAAGACCTCAGGATTACCTAATCAAAGTAGTAAAAATAAATTGTCAGAGAAGTAAGTTTTAAAAAGCACCTTATTTAAGGAATGCACTGACCTTGAATCTCTAGCGAATGCAGGGAAGGATGGACCAGACGGCCAGGCCCCGTGGCCCCTGAAAATGGGTCCAGCTGACCCCGGCCCTGACTCCCCGCATCCCCTGCCGTCCCTCCGACGCTCGTTGAGGGTCCAGCAGTGAGCTGTAGCATCGAGCTGCTCAATTCTGAATGCAGTGTCCAGAAGCAAATTACATTTTAGGTTTTAAACTGCTTGTTTGTATCTTAAAGCCTGGCTGTACCTTGCGTTTAAAATCAAGTATTTGAAAAACCAATGAGATGTGAATTTGGCCCCCTCTGAGCTCAGCACTGGGGTGAGGGCAGGCTGGTGTGTTATCCCCGTAAGCAGTGGGAGAATCAGGGGAAGCAACCGCCTCATGTTTTCCACTTTTTAGGTTTGTATAGCAACACCTGGTAATTCCCAAGTTTTCTTTAACTCATACATAATACGACATTGTGTAATTCACCTTTTAGAAATGTTACAACTAGTGTGTTTCTTGGTGAGTTAATGTAATCTAGGACATAGGTCTTTTATTCTTTTTTTTCGGACATTTTCTGCTGTGATAGGTTCCTGGTTTCCTCTCTCTCAATGCTGAACGCACAACTGCCACAATGAGCGTGCAGGTAGGGAGGGGCCAACCTCGGGCGGCTTTCTCCCGTTTCCCAGCCGGTGTGTGCGCCTGTTCTGAGCCCTTCCATCCGCTGGGGTTCTCTCGGTCTGCTGCAGGGACTCTACCTCAGTAGGAGATAGCTGCAAATGTCTCCTCGATCTGTCATGGCTGAGTGCAGTGAGGATGCGTAATCAGTGTATCTTGCATTCTGGGGAAGTCTTAGTACTGTCAGTAAACTTGTGCACCAGTGAAGACTTATTTTAATACAAAGTCTTAAGTGAAACTAGGTTTAGTCACCTTGTATAAAGAAACTTTGTCTGTATATAGTTGTATACAAAATTTCTAAACCTGTTAAATTTTTCTATGCACTTTTTTATTTATGACGTTCTATGCTTAATAAAGATGTGGTTTGAAGAAAATTTTATAAGTGTTGTAAGAATGGTTCATTTCAAATTGGTCTTTTGCCGTTGATTATTCTTAAACTTTGGGTTTTTAATACCTTACTGTTATTGATTTCAAAATAATGAAAAAAAAATACCTAAAGTGTATAAGGCCACTTAAAATTAATAAATTGTTTTACATGGCCGCCCGCCTCAATTTTTTGGTG